GTTCTCAAACATGTCCAACTACACTATGAATATGTCAGAATTTTCTCAGATTTTTCGCAAGGCGTTAAGTAAGGAAAAACCTCAAAAAAATGATTTTTCGAATTTTCCCGATTACTACCCCCCTGGTTGAGATACAGGGCTAAAAATTGGAGTGAATGTTTCTTTTTTGATAAGCTATCGAATGGCGCAAACAGCGCTTCATTCGGCTCAAGGGCACATTTGACCCCCTTATCCAGCTAGGCCCTTTGCTTGTAGCAGCATGCACCGTGCCATTTCCATTAACGTTCTGTTAAGTTTTTCAGCGACTCCATTTTGCTGGGGTGTGTAAGGTACTGTCTTTTCCCGCTTTATTCCCCATTCATCTAACTGCTTTTCAAAATCTTTGCCTCAATATTCCAATCTATTATCTGTCCTTAGGATCTTCATCTTTCTCTCTTTCTTACTCTCAACACTTGCTTTGAAACTTTTGAAAGCCTCCTTTACTTCATCTTTTGATTTCAGGAAGTATACTTTGATCCATCTAGATTTGTCATCTATGAAGGTAGCGAAGTAATTTGCTCCTCCTATGGATTTCGTACGCATCGGCCCGCAAATGTCTGAATGAATTAGATCAATTATCTGTTCGCTTCTATTGCTTGACTGTGTAAAACGAACTGTAGTTTGTTTTTCCTTTATGCACGTTTCACATAAGGGAATTTTATCATTTTTATTAAAATTCATACCCACGACCATGTTTTTAGATACTGAAGACTTCATATCGGACTCATTTAGATGTCCATATCTTAAATGCCACATGGTATTTGTGCTTACTTCGTTATTTTCCGCGAACAGACAATTTTGTTTAATAGTTGCGTTAAGAAAATATAAATTTCCTACCTTCGGTGTTGTGATTTCTTCCATTCTGCTAATCATTATTTTTGCCTTGTTTTTTGTGAATAGAACCTTCTTTCCATTCTTTGCCATCTTTGCTATAGACAAGAGACTTGTTTTCAATTCAGGAACGTATAGAGTATTTTCACATTTTATAATTTGGTCTCAATTCCTATTCCCCTTACTTCCACATTTCTTTCAGTGGCAAGTCCAATTGTCTGATTAACAACGGGTTTTAACCTGAAAAACGAGGACTTCTTGTTGCACATATGAGATGTTGCTCCACTATCTATGCACCAATCGTTGCTCATCAAGTCCATAGTGGTCAAAGCTAACCTTGCTGATACATCGTGATTTTTCATTTCATGTACCGTGAGAATATCTTCACCTTCTGTCATGTAATTTGCTTGTTGCTTTGCATTGGCTTTCCTTTTAAAACAATTGCTTGCTTTGTGTCCCAATTTTTGGCAATAGTGACATTTATATGGTTTGTAAGGTCTTTTGGTGGTAAATCCCACTGCGTTCACTTTATTTTCACTTACTTCCGTGCTTTGAAGATCATTAGTGAACTGTGGCTTATTTGCATTTCTCTCGTGCTTTACGTAAAATGCTTCTTGCGTACCACTCCTTCCATCTACCCTTTTCCTTGCTTCAGATTCTTCTAAGAGTTTTATCTTTAAGGACTATGGATCTGGAAGTTTATCTCTTGATTCTATTGCACACCTGAAATTCTCATAGTCATTTGATACACTGTATAGAATTATTATCGACAAAAGATTATCACCGATTTGTATGTTCATCTCCATCAATTTGTCGACTATATGAAATAGTTTATTCAAATGTTCGGCCATATTTTCACTCACTTCAAGTTTTGTAAATAATAATTGCTTTAGAAGTGATGCTTTCTTTGCTGGTCCTTCTGATGCATATACTGTTTTCAACGCCGTCCACACATCTTTCGATGTTTCGCAATTCTTTGATGATTCTTGTATCAAGCAGTAATAAAGTTGTGTGGTTCAAAGTAAATCTCCAAATTGAAGTTAATAGAAAACCTAAGAAATACACCACAAGTAAAA